GGGCAGGCTGTGTGTGTGCGTGCGTGTGTGTGCATGCTACAGCTGCACAGAGGGACGGCAGAGGGGCTGGAGTGGAGCACAGGCTTCCCCATGCTGGGGTAGGGGGGAGCCCAAAGCCTTGGAGGCCAGATCCAGCCCCCAGGCCTTAGGTTCCTCACTCATGCCCTAATTAATGCATTTTACCTCCACAAAACAAATATATAATAAACAATCCAATCAAAACATACTTACTTGCTATCTGTAGTGTCCCCGTTGTGAATGGGTGTCTGCTAATGCCCTGGGGGAGATTAAGAGGCTCTTAGATCCATGATGTCTCATAGGAGCACAGTTTAAATGGGAAAGATGGTGAGGCTGTTACGGGATCTCTCACTGATTCCCCCTCTGCCTGCTCAGAAGCGCAAACTGTGCGCTGGATCTCCCGGTGCTCTTTCCACTTACATGATAATCTGTCCCCTGTGTGTTTCTCCAGGGATGTTTTGTGGAGAATGGGGATTATCCTTCCCAAGTGGCCCTTGCGCACCAGGATTCTTCTGCACAGCAGGTATTTGATGTAGCATTCCCATGGGCAAAGGGAGCAGAAGAACCAGGGTCCTTTGATATTTTTCTTCTCCCTATTCCCTGAGCTCCTCTGCCCTGTCGGTTTAATTTGTCCTGTCCCCTCCTGAAAAGAGACATTGCAATCAGGTTACTGAGGCATGAGGTTGGTATAGAAGCTTTCAATGGGAGGATGCTGGTGTGAGATTAGCATGTTGCAATGCAGTGGGAAGCTGGAGCAGTAGCATAAATACGAGGTGATGACAGAGGTTTTGGAACAGGAGTTCATAATGATGGTGTTGGCATGGTTTGTTGGCATAACAAACAATATAATCCCTTAAATTATGAGTGTTTATTTGGCAGGATGTGGCTAGAAACTGTATTGACTCTTGGCAAGTAATGGAAATTATCTGTGAAATACGGGAGGTTGATTCTGGTGCATGAGCAGATGCCTCAGCATCTCTGTGATGCTGCTCATACCAAATCAGAATTCAGATTTCTCAGAGCCAGGGGCTGCAAAATGAGAGGAGGTCAACAGCAATTCTGGGCTCTGGCTACAGCCTGTGCTGCTAGTCAGCACAAAACACTCTGTAGGTTTTGTTTACCAAACCACATAGGTTTCTCGCTGATGAGTCTTTGTGCTCCAAAATATTGGATGGGTTTTCTTCAAGCCCCTGGATAGAATCCTAGAGCTGGAAAAGACCTCAGGAGTCATCAGTCCAGCCCCCTGCCCAAGGCAGGACCAATCCCAACTAAATCAACCCAGCCAGGGCTTTGTCAAGCCGGGACTTAAACACCTCTAGGGATGGAGATTCCACCCCCTCCCTAGGGAACCCATCCCAGTGCTTCCCCACCCGCCTAGGGAAATAGTTTTTCCTAATATCCAACCTGGACCTCTCCCAACTGCAACTTGAGATTCATGTGATTTCATGAGATTCTCAGTATTGTGTGTGTATGTGTTGGGGGGCAGGGAGGGGATTATTAAGTTTCTTTCTAGCTCTCATGGTTATGGATCAAAGGCTGAAAAGTGATGCAAGTGCAGCCAAAGGCCTCTGATACCAAGACACACATCAAATCAAACCTATTAAAAAGGTAACAGTTCTCATGGTTGTTTGAGGCTTGAACTCATGGGCTGCGTCTAGACTGGCATGATTTTCCGGAAATGCTTTTAACGGAAAAGTTTTCCATTAAAAGCATTTTTGGAACAGAGCATCTAGATTGGCACGGACTGTGCCAATCTAGACGCACTTTTCCTCAAAAAAGCCCCAATTGCCATTTTCGCGATCGGGGCTTTTTTGTGGAAAATAAATCTGAGCTGTCTACACTGGCCCTTCTGAGCAAAAGCTTTGCGCAAAAGGGACTTTTGCCTGAACGGGAGCAGCATAGTATTTCCGCAAGAAGCACTGATTTCTTACAGTAGGAAGTCAGTGCTTTTGCGGAAATTCTAGCAGCCAGTGTAGACAGCTGGCAAGTTTTTCTGGAAAAGCGGCTGATTTTCTGGAAAAACTGGCCAGTCTAGACACAGCCATCCTGTATGGAACTGTTAGGCCTGGCCACACCTTAGATTAGTTTCAGATCTTTGCCCATGTGTGCACTTCACTCTTTCTCTCTCAATTCTCATTAATATTTTATTGACATGGAGTCCAATTCTAAGATTTTCCCCTAGCCGGAGTCCAGTCCAGACGGAATATTCAGAAACAAGTATCTATCTGTGATGTTTGCATCTCAGTGCCAGGAGAGCTTGGGTTAAACGCAGTACATCCCTCTGTGTATGCCAGGGGAACCGAACTTACTGATTCACATACGATCACCCTCAGAGGTTCAAGTGCCAAGTGCACTAGTTTGGAGCTTCTGCTCTGTAGCAGGAGGGTGGGGCTTTGGACTTCAGCCCAGCAGGAGATGCCTGCTGTTGCTCAGGGCTTCAGCAGAAGCAGCACTGAAGCCCTGAGCCTTGGCAGATGCTTCCTGCAATGCGGTAGCCCCTAGACCTTACCCCCCTCTAATGGGCAGAAGCCCCTAGTCCACCACCCCACTGCAGGGTAGAAGCACCCCAGTTTGGTAAGTGAAGAATAGGGGGGAGGGGCTCTGCAAGCCACATTTTGCCTGTAAAAGAGCCACATGTGGCTCATAAGCCATAGTGTGGCCACCCCAGCACAAGGCCCAAAGAGGCCAAAGGGTTGCAATGTTTGTCGCTTTGGATTTATTTCCCCTTTGTATGTCAATACAGGAGCCAGTACGTCAAACCCTGATGGAGCCACCAATACAAGCACCGGAGGCCCATGCCCACCTGGGCACTTTTGCCCAGCTGGCACCAGCATCCCATTGCCATGCCCTGTGGGCACGTTCTCTGACAGGTGAACTCTTTGGCTGTGGTCATGCTGGTTTGGAAACAGAGGCTCTGTCTGTCTGTCTTTCTCCTGGTGTTCCCAAGGGCAGGTGCGCTATATGCATTCCTTCCCCACTTCTGTGGTCTCTCCCCTCCCCTCTCGGTGGTTTCTCATGCTTACTCTTTCAGCAGCAGAGTGCAATGGTGCATGGTTCATGGGGCAGTTGCCTATATTGACTATAGGAGCCTGAGGGTCAAGGCTTGTTGGCAGTGCTAGTGCCAGCACATTGGTGATACAGCTGCCCGACTGTATGCAATGAAGCACAGGGCAAGGTCCAAACCACACTGGGGACAGCGTGTGACTGGAAACAGGAACAGACAAGTACTGGTGGTTGGGTGCCAGGGAGTGAGGGGTAGGTGGTGGGATTGCCGGGGTGTTACAGAAGCAGTGGAGCTGTATCATGCTGTGGTTTCTGGATGGGAGAAGAGTGATCCCTGCCCCCATATGTATAAAGAGCAGTGGGTGCTGTAAAGCAGAACATTTATCGCAGCACATGGTGCTAGGTGTTGGTGGCTAATGGGGATTAGCTGCAGCCTGCCATCTTTCCCAGCTATGCCTCAATTGTCCCCCCAGGCTCTACCTCTGGCTAGAATCCAGCTGCACCGTGTGCCCACCTGGCTATTACTGCAGCTCAGCCGGCCTCGCAGCCCCGTCAGGACCCTGCTCAGCTGGCTACTACTGCCTCTCGGGAGCCTCCTCCTCATCCCCAGAAGGTCAGGGTGTCACTGAATGAAGGTCTGAACAATTTTAAGCCAGGGTGATTCCCTGTAAGTGGTGCCGTCCCCCGCTTTCGGCGTTCACTATCGGGCGGAAGGCATTGCTGCCTGGACTCATGGGGCCCAACATAAAGAGCTGAGGTGTAGGGCTGACTTCCCAGCATTCCCTCCACTACCTCTGATGTCTCCCTCCCTAACGACTCTTGTCTGCCGCACTCAGCTTCTGGATCGCTGTCACCAGCAGAACAGTGCCCGATCTTTTATCTGCTTACTCCCTTGTATGTGTTTGGCTTGGCTCTTGCATGAGCCATGTGCATTGCCCTCTAGGGAAGGATATTGGTAGCAACCCATGCACAGGTGTTGGGCAGCACACTGCAATATCCCAGTTGTGGGTCTGTTGGGCATTGCACCCGGTTAAGTTCATGGGAAAAACAGAGGGAGGCTAGATATAGGGTGGGACTCGGCTCAGCCTTGCCTGTGAGGAAGGGCTGTGTGCACGCTGCACTGATCGTTCCCATATGTACATGTGTAGACCTCGATTAGCCCACTTGTGCCTTTATTTACCTCTCACTCTCCCTCACCCTCCTGTGCCGGCATGGGTACCAGGGTCTGACCCGCGCCAAGTCTCCTCGTTTAAGTCCACTCCTCGGTGTTCAGCTCCTGAGCCAGCCTGCCCCGACTGTGCCCAGGGCTTCTCGCACCGCCTCCGACAGCAGGGAGAGGGGGGTCCGGGCCCACCCTCACTCACGGACCCCAGCCCAGGGCCCTAAGGACGTGGACCTGTCCAGGTCCGGTCCAGCTGGCGGGACTTCCCACCGTAATACGCCCTGCCCTGGGCTGCTTCCTCTCCTCTCTCCTGGTCTGCCTCCCTCCTGTCCCTCCTGAGCCTGCCTCTGGAGCCGGAGAATATTCGAGGGGGTGTAGCCCCATGACTCCTCTCCCCTCCCCTCCCCTCTCCAGTCCGGTCCCTTTTGATTCTTAGCGCCCTGACATTACAACATGCCAGGGCACCTCCCCTCTCAGCGTCCTCGCGGCCCGAGAGCACACCGAGCATGCCCCGTCAATGCCCCACCCCATCCCCTTTTGGCCGGAGTCCGGGAGTTTGAAACGAGGCCGCGCCGCGCCTGGTCTCTCGTCGTGCCCCATACAGAGCCGGCGCCGGGGGACTTAGAGTGCGGGGCCGCGGCGCCCCGTCACACCATAGCTCACATACCCTGGAGGGTGCTGTCTGGTCATTTTCTAACCTGACACTGCCTCCTCTCCATCTCCCTTGTGGGATCACAAGGAACACAACAAAAGAGATGCACCCAGTAGCTGGACACAGTCTTTGTTCCCACGGCTTTTCACTTTCTTCCTCATAGATGTATGGCACAAAGGAGGACCTTGCCCCATGAGCCACTTCTGCCCAGAAGGGACCAGCTACCCCTTTCCCTGCCTTGCAGGGACTTACAACAACCTCACCAGACAAGCTGCGTGTTTGCCGTGTGCAGCTGGCTACTACTGCCCTGAAAACACCACCAGCTACTATGCCTACCCCTGCCCACCTGGCTTCTACTGCCCCAAAGGTGAGACGCAAGCCCTGCTCCTGGGCCAACAGTGGCCTCTGAGAAACGAGCTAGTGGGTCTCAGTACAGTTCTTCATGAATAAGTGTCTGGATCACACAAATCATGAATGCAACTGACTGGAATCCCCCTTATCCACAACCTCAGGTGAGACCAGAGACCGACTGGGAATTGCCATCTGAGCTACCTCAACAAGGGCAGCGTTATTATGCGAGAGCTTATAGGAGGGCTTGTATTTATGTCCTACAAGTACCACAAAAAATTATCTTTATTTCTAAGCAACAAGGTTCGCTACTGAGTTTCCTTGCCCCCGAGGTTACTATAACCCTGACCCCATGACCCAGAGCCTGGACAGCTGCCTGCCCTGCCCTCCAGGGCACTACTGTGGGAAGGAGAATTTAACGACTGTGTCGGGGAAGTGTGATGCAGGTGAGTCCAGAACCGTCTGGCTGCATGTTTCAGAGGGCGGAGAGGGCCCTGTGAGGTTGCTGCTAGCTCATACACCCCGTTTATCCATTGTAACACAGTGGGTTGCCCCGCTGCTGCAGTTCTCTTTGTGTTTTCATTGCGCAGGCTGGTTCTGTGTGTCGGCTGCATGGACCCCACAGCCTTTCGACCTGGATAATTACACCAATGCCAACTGCCTGTGTCCAGCCACAGCCACCGGAGGGAAGTGCATGGCTGGATTCTACTGCCCCGCGGGCAGCCTGGAGCCCATTCCCTGCCCTCCAGGGTTTTACTGCCATGCGTCAGGTGAGGCGACAGCCATGCCAACTGGGGCGGAGGATAGAGAGATGATGCAAATATTTGTCTCTGTTTCCCAGTGAGTTTGCTATTCCAGCCCTGCCTCCAGCCACAGGGCTCACCTTGAGTTCCCATCAGGGAGCAGGGGACCTGTGATCTATCCCTGACTGTTACAGGCCTCTCCATGACCTTGGGTGAGTCACTCAGCCTCCCAGCCCAACTGTCCAAAACTCTTGGCTCTAAAAGGCCAGGGTGTCGCCTCAGACTCATTCCACTCTCGGCTTCCATTTGGGCTGGAGATAGAGCTGTCATGGCCGGTCGTTCATTTCCCCTGCTGTTTCTTTTATTCTTTCAATGCCATTTTGGTGTGTTTAACATGAGCTATTATTAGTGTGTCACAGACTCACAGGTCAGGCCTACTCGTGGCCCCGTAAGATCCCCAGGGGGATCCCCCTTCAGCGTGACAGCCCCTTCTCGGGGTTCTCTTGGGGGTCAGCTCCTTTAACTCATGGAACTGCACCTCTCTGAGTCTTCAGCATGCCTGTCTCTCACCGTGGGTCCCCTCAGGGAGTCTCCTCACTCTGGGCCCCTGCGGCCTCCACTCCCAGAGGCTGTCTCTACACTGGCATGAATTTCTGGAAATGCTTAAAACGGAATACTATTCCGTTTTCAATTTTTCCGGAAAAGGAGCGTCTACATTGGCAGGCTGCTTTTCCGGAAAAGCCCTTTTTCCGGAAAAGCGTCTGTGGCCAAAGTAGACGCGCTTTTCCGGAAAAGAGCCCCGATCGCCATTTTCGCGATCGGGGCTTTTTTCCGGAAAAGACTACT